TCTATCTATCTATCTATCTATCTATCTATCTATCTATCTATCTATCTATCTATCTATCTATCCACCAACATCTTTTTTTCTTTTGAGTTCAGGTTTATTTTGGCATTTTTGGGCTTTTTCTGAGCAACCACACACTTAGACACACCAACCTACGAAAAGAGAGAGAGAAACGGGGAGATAGAGAGAGAGAAATTGGGAGATGGAGAAAGAGGGAGAGAGAGAGGACTGATTTTTCTCCTGCCTTCAGAGAGAAGCCTGACTGACTCCGGCCAGCAGCAGCAGCAGCAGCATCGCTGTCATCCCTCCCATCAGCACCACCACCACCCGCCTGTATATACGCCGTCTGGTGAAACTGTCAATGAGAAAGGATTGTGAATCAGTTGTGAAGCAAATAAAACCACCAAGGAATCAGAGACTGGAGGTTCCTCTGCATACCATCGGTGTCATGGGGGAGATGCGTTTCCTTGCAGGAGCGGCGCTTTGGGACTGTGATGTCTGACGGACGCGCAGAGATGCTGTGAGCTCTGGTATTAGCAGCCAGCTGCGCACCCACCGAGCAGCTCTGCCCCCTCCCTCCCTGCATCTCCTCCCCACAATCCCTCTTCTCTTTCCGACCCAGACCATTCAGTCAAAGCAGGGAATTGACTCCACAAGGATTGCGTCCTGAGCGGTGATTTGGCAGGTATGTGCAGCAGCGCAGCGCGTCCGGGCGCTGGATGCGCCTTTGCATGCTGTGTGTGGGGTGGTGGGGGTCTGTGACTGGTTGGACTTCGTTGTATTTTCTTGTTGCTTCCCTCCCCTCCCCTTGTGGCCCTGTGAGTAGCCTACATTAATGAATCTGAGAAGCTGTTATCTGAGAAGGATGGTAGATGGCATCATCTGTCGATGCAGCCGACCTGAGAAATACAACAACGCAACGTGGTGCTCAGATACAGACCAGATTTTGCTGTTTTATTCCAGATTTTCACAGTCTGATCCGAACAGAGTCGATCCTACAAATCCTCAGCTTTCCTTAGGTTGCTCTGCATAACGTGGCACAACAGTAACGCATGTGATCAAGCTGCTTCACACTGAACAGTCTAGTCATGACAGCTAAAGAAATGATTCATTGATTAATGAAAGGAGAAAAATGTGCTGCTGGCTTTTTTCCTGAGCTGCAGCTGCATATATTATGTTTAGAGATGAACCACTCTGGTAAAATGAAGCTAAGCATGGGCGTGAGGGCAATATGATCTGAGGATGCACACACCCTCTCATACTCAGCTCCCACTGGTGTATGGCTGCCTCTTTCTGTAGCAGCAGCAGCAGCAAATGCATGGCTGAAAGCAGCCATGCATGGAGGCATGCAACTTACGTACATGTGTGCTGGATGCTGTGCACATGCATACACATTCGGTCACACACCCACATTTTGCTCTCATCCACATTCAGTTATAATCCATAATCGTATGCTCTGGAGACATGACGTAACACATAATCATGTCTCATCTATATGCATCCATTTCTAAAGGTTTTCAGAAAATCTCTGTCTCACCCAGAGGGGAGATGGGAACAAACAGTACTCCACAGCATGGAGCAGAAGTGCTTGAAGCATGATGAGCTTAAATTGGCTTACTTTGGGTTCACATCAGTGGACACACAATCAGCTATAGTATTGTGAGTAGAAATGGTGTAGAATGCCTCCAGCTGACATTTTCCTCAAAGAGGAGTGGCAGAGATAGAAGATGCTGCACAGGTGTTAAACTGTGGAGCGCTTTACTAATTTTGTACATGAGCAAGAAAAATGAGGGAAAGACTGGAAGTTAATGCAAGATGTAAAAACGCAGCACCGCTGATTAGAGGGAGTGTTGTACTTTTATTTCCTCTTGCTTCTTTAGTCTAAACCAGAAATGGATGACACATATCCAAGAACCACTAGGGTTCCAAGATGGTTTTGGTGAAATTAACCTCCCATACCTGAGCGGAAAGGATGGTGTTAAAAGTGTTGCCTGTTTCAAAATGGATTGAAGAAGAATGTCTGTTATCTGTTGCAGACTAGAGTGATCGGTCCAGTGACCTTATGAGCAATTACCTTATGACACCTGTTTACCACAATACAGAAAATTACATGATAACGTGTAAAAATAAACAAGTATTTAAGATATTCACAAAAAAATTAGGTATACTATAGCAGTGTTATTAACATTTAATTTAGTGCCATTCTAATTTTGTGGAATAGTCCTGAGCAAAAAAAAAAAAAAAAAAAAAAAAAATTAGTAAACACATGGCAAACTTAGTAGTGCTTTTCAAGAGTTTTATAAACTAGTACTAGTTGGTTAAAAAGTATGGCTATATTTCAATTCAGTTTATTTATATAGATCCAATTCACAACACATGTCATCTCAAAGCCTTTACAGATCATACAGTCAAATTGATTCAAAGTTTTCTATCCAAGAAAAAAAAACAGTTGATTGGATAGACTCATTGACTCAAAGGCAATCCCTCACACTAAGCATACTTGTAGCAACAGTGGAGAGGAAGAACTCCAGCAGAACCAGGCTTAGTGTGAGCGGGCAACTGCTGAGTTCGACTGGGGTTCAATGAGACAGAAGGAGAGATGGAAAAGGCAACTGTAAAAGATGGCCCCATCCAGGGAACATACAGCCAGGCAGAAGGCTCCCATTTCAGAGGATAAAGAGAGCACACCCAGCCAGTCACAGTCAGAGAAACAGGACTACACTGAAAAACAGGCAGATCTCCAACATCTATAAAAAAGGTGTTGATGGCTAATATATATGCTAAAGTAGACACCCTGCAGTTGGCTGGTGTGTATCATTTCCAAAATTTTATATTTAAATAGTAAATCTGCATTAAGAGTGATTCTTGTCCCTGCTTAAATGGCATACCATGGTTTTCTGTGATTTAGCAACTGCTTTATATCAAGCCATTGATTGTTTATCTCCTTTTGAATGCAAAGGTAAAAAAAAAAATATTATTTGAGCAAGTTGTCAGTGCAGCAACAAGTGTGTGTTTTTGCCTACAATCAAAGGTTGTGGAAAAACCAGAGTTACTTTATTACTTACACTGACCTCTCCTTCAAAGGGCTTTAAACCCTAAGAGCATTATGGCAGTAGGAGTAAAACCCTTGGTACAGTACAAAGCTTTGCTCCTTTTTCTCATAGGCAAAGCGTGTACACTCCAGAGCAGAAGGTGGCGGTACTGCGACCAAAGCCAACCACCAGTAGTAAACAAGAAGAAGAAGTGAAGCAGCATAGCCGGGTGTAGCAGAAAAAATCAGTTGTTGTGGAGAATTGTGTGGATATGGCGAATGGGAAAGAACAGGAGTTGGAAGACGCGCCAGCAGCACTTTATAGGTCTGCTGTATGGGACCACTTTGGATTTAGAGTGACCTATGATGACAGCGGAAAGAAAGTATTGGATAAAAGTGCAACAGTGTACAAGCAT